AGGAAGAGACTTTCTGCTACTTCAGCCACTGCATGTTCATTAGGTGCTGGATAACATGCCTTCACCAGTTACATTTTGGAATTGGGCCATAACAGCGGTGCGTGTTCTTTCGCAGTAACACATCCTAAATACCATAATGCCATAAGCACACCATATTCCTTGCCTGTCTATGCATCTTTTATATTCTTTCATATGACACAGGAACCCTTGAGACTTCGCCCAAAGTCCATAGGATACGGGTGCAGCAAGTTTTGATAAAAACCCAAGCTGAATTCACACACGGCTCTTGCTCTGCCCCAGCGTGTTATGTGCTTGAAGAGTTATATTCTATGGCCTAGCATGATGTATATACCCTGCAAATTGTGATTTATTCAACGAATGATTGGGGTGGTTAAATAAGCCAGTCTCAGTCAATGTGGATTTTGGGTAGAAAGTTTTTTGGAAGGACACATAGAGACGTTGTAATAAATAGAGAGGAGCAAGGTCATGGTTGCATCTTAACAAATAAGGGCTGTGTGATGGTAGTTTTGTGTCTGTGTGTGCCTTTAAGACATTGTTAATTCTTGGCAATTGCCTGGACTAGTCCTTGCAGTTTTCTTGGCAAGGTTTTTGGAGGTGGCTTGCCGTTGCCTGCTTCTTCGCAGGGCTGAGAGAGGGGACTGGCCAAGGTCACCCAACTGGCTTCGTGCCCAGGGAGGGACTAGAACTCACACTCTCCCAGTCTCTAGCCTGGTGCCTTGACTACTACACCAGACTAACACTTTGGCCATGGTACTTTGGCCCATGCTGAAAACTTATTTGGGGTGTATTGTATCTCAAGGAGATTGTATGAAGGACTCTTGGGGCCTCTTTTCTTCAAAACCTTTTTTTGGGAAACCAGCCATTATAAGCAGGTTATATGAAGCAAGCTATCACAGTAAGCCATAACATGATTTAATTGCATGGGCAGAGCAAGTTATTTGCTTTATTAACAATGGGTTTAGGAGTAAGCATGCTGTGTGAACCCAGCCATAGTGTGCTGCTGGCAGAATATTGATCAATTCACAACTAAAGGAGTTTCTAATGCTACCAAAACAGTTGTTGTTATAGATAGAAAAATCTGTGATGATGGCAGCCATTTTGTGCCATTCTCCTCTGATGTTTCATACCACACTCCATCCAGCCCAGTGGGACAGTAAACTCTGTACACTTCTAAGTCTCTTTCTTGTCAGTGTTTCTCCCCAAATGGCCAGTTAGATAGTTGCTTCCAGCTTGATCAGAGGGTCCAGGGAAAAGCCAAGACTGATCAAAGTGGTCACTCATCTCATGCAGCTTTACTTTCATGGTCCACTGCTGGCCTACTCACAGGTGAAGGTAGAAGGAAGAGGCATCCCCACGCTGCTCCCTGCCTTTCCTAAAATGAGAAGTGAGGACACAGACTGCTGGAAACTGACTGGGGGTAGGAAAGAGAAGCTTTGAGATCCTTGTGAGGGGTCATCTTCCTTTCCTGAGCAAGTGCTGCACTTGAGGATTTCTGCAGAGTGAGACCCTATTCAGTTTGTTAGATTTTCCCAATAGCAACAGAATTTGGCCAAATGCACATGTGGCTTTCATTTTCCTTGTTTCTTGTACCTTCCAGAATAGTTATTATCTTACTTGGAAGGGACTAATGCTCAACTTGGGATTTAGACTTAGGAGGGGTGTCAGAAGGTAGCATTTGGGAGTAGCTTTTCTACAGTAACCAAGGCCTTAGAGTTCCCTTTCCCAGATCTCCAGTTACTACAGGGACATGTGTAGTTTCAAGTTTCAATGCCCTGAAAGTTTTCAAGTTTCAATGCCCTGAAAAAGGATGACGTTGTGCTGAGGACAATTTAGAAATTCTTGTCTTATTGGAAGAGTCCCGCTGCCCCTTCCCTTTAGAATAGGCCACCTTGTGACATCTAAAGTGAAGCCTCAGTTTAACATGCCTTGGTTTATCGGATGTCAGATACAACGAACTTTTTCATTTGTTGTTTCCAGAGCGATCTGGGCAAATGTTGTCAATTTACATCATTTGCAGAGTGACATTAGTTGACACAGCTGATGCAAATTACTTAATTAATGTCACTGTGCTAATGGTGTAAATTGATGGAAATGGTGGGGTTCTTTGAGATATTCTGGTTTCACACACACACACAGACTGTTAAGCGGAGGTTTCATTTGCATGAAAAGTAACAGGAGGAGGGAATGGCCTAAGGGACCCATAAAGGACAATATATTTTGATGGGAAGGCACACCAAAGGGACCCATCCCAAAAGCCCTTCAAATCTGAAGCCAGCTTAGTGTAAGCTCTTCCCTTAGAAAGGCAGGAAGCAAGGCCAATAAAACAGGAAGTGGGGTGGCGCACCACAGTGTCCAACAGAATTCCTCATTATGCACCAAGGTAGTAACCCTGGCTCATGGTTTATGAGGTATCATGATTGTCAGAGTGAAGAAGAGGCAAAGTAGAGTGGAATCAGGTTTGAGAGGAAAAGAGAGCAGCATGTGATTGGGGCAGCAGGCAATCCGCCCCAGGAAATATGGAAGTAGACAGAAGAGGCAAATAGCAAGCAAGACTGATAACAAGGCTAAGAATTAACTAGAAGACTCCTCAGTTTGAACAAAGACAAGTAGAAAGTCCAAGGAGGTTGATTTTGGAGCGTGAAAAGTAGTAAAAGACACATTCAAAGGCCAGGAGGAAAGGTTTGCAAAGCCTGCTGGAAGGATGGCCAAGTCCCACTTTTCCTCTTTCCCAGCAGCTATATGTAGACTGAAGAATGAGTCCTGGATTGGGTTGTTATGGCTTCCTGACCACTCATTATGACTTCCTTGAAACCATAGTAGAATGTTAGGTTTGTATGCATCTACGGAAGATGGGTGGATGAACTGAATCAGAAGTATCCTGTACCAAAAAAAAAGAAAAAAAGATCTTCATGTTGGATGCTTGCTATATGTATTGGGCTCCATTTCCATAATCCACCACCGGCATGGCCATTAGTTGTGCTGATTGGGGATTATGAGAGTAGATGTCCAAGATATATGTTGAGAGCATCAGGTTGCCATTGGAAATTAAAGAGACAAGATAGAATGAAAAAAGTTGTTTCAGGTAATGGAATTTAGAGAAATGGATGATAGCAGAAATGGTAAAGTGATAAGACA